GCCCCCGAGCTTTGTCGGGTCGAAACGAGCCACCAAGTGACCAGAGGATACGATTGAGGATGGGAGTAATCGAACGTTCGATGATCCTTGATCGGTGCTCGTATGGCCCCTGCGTGGTGAGGATGAGCTGGCGGTGGAGTGGAGTGGAGGGGAGTGGAGGATGGGTTTTGGTGATGTGGTGGCGGTGGTGCTGGTGGTGCTCAAGCAAGCCCGTGACTGCGTGAGAGGGGGAAATGAGCCGCAGTGAGGGGAGAACAAGATATCCCTGCGCAGACCTTTGGAACTGAACCAACCGTGCAGCAGCCGACTGCTGAAATATTAAATAATAGCTATTGTTACTATGCAATACTGCGCGCACACTTTTATGTAGTGATGACTTCAAGTTATTTCGGTTTGTTGGCCACTTTGCTGATTCTCGAATTTGGCTTACGACGCACGGCACGGGGCATGTCCCTGGTGTGATTGACTTCTACTAGTTGTTACATCATGCCCAAACTGGAAGACATTCTATCAAGAATGAGATAAGAGGATAAAGGGTTGAATTCCACAATTGCTCTTCCTTGCGTCGGCATGTGGGATTGGCTTCTCTGCATCAACAGGCGCGGCAGTATTGTTAACTGCATCGCATGCCGCTATGCTGTTGACGACGGGGTATTCCACAACAAGAACACCCGCCCACAGGAAATAAAGCTGTCATATTCCAGAGAAATCACACGCTGGAACATCTTTGCCAAAAGAGGCAATGTAATGTGCAGAGGAGAGTGCCAATTGCGTGGCCTCGAAACCATCGTCAGTATTCATGGAGTATCGTTATTGACTTCGCTTTTGCTCTTTTCTGGGCTATTGGCGATGATAAGTTCTGACTACACAGGAATGTACTCCTCCATGTTGCAGTAAAATCCATCTTATATGTCTTGGTAAGCATTATCTGTAGTTAGGTAGATGACACAGTAGGGCTCTTCCTTCCATCGACTTCGTTATACAAGAAGTATTGTAGCTATTAATAGGACCATGGATGACCCAAAATACTCAAAATAACTACTCAAAATAATCCTAAGCATTTAAAAATACACATATATTTAACGCACGAGTTCTCGAACCAAGCAAACTCTCAACCGAACACCTCCCTTTTAGGATCTACGCCGTAGACTTTGGAGAAGATGAACCCTGACTGAGGGAACCCGCAAATCCTTGGAACGCTCCTGTTTTTTATACAGAATACATGACCAAGGAGGGCACTTTAAACCGCCGTTCTTGGAAGAAACCCCGCTTCCTCTAATCATGGTTATCGCGACACATATTTGAATTAGCTCTTCCCCAGAGAGACTGGAGAAGATATTGGTTGCGACAGGACGTTCGAGCTTGTCTCCCTGCGACATGATCTATTGTTGATAAACACCAAGCTCGCTATTTACTGGCCAACAGAAGTTTGCGGCTATGTGATCCGTCGGCCCGCTCGCTCTATGCATCGGATGTTAAAAGCCTTGGTACTCGACGTGCAGGCACTATGTTCACGTGATCTACAGCTTCAACCACATCGTTTCCGACGTGAATTTGCGACAATACACAAATAAAATACCAAGCGACGTCAGATGAAACCGTCAACTTAAAACCCCCTTTCCTCCCATTTCTAGTAGTTTAAAGGGATCCTCCTCCTGTGAAGATTGTTTCGAAATGGCCCCACCGAGAAGAAAACTACTAGCCACAGTAGAAGAAACCTTAGTTGCCCCGGATTCGTTGTTGGAGAGCCACAAAATCGCGAAAGTGATCAAAGCCACGGGAAATAATATCTACGCCGTAGAGCTACCGTCTAAAGAGACCGTGTTAGTAGAGCTAGCGGCAAGATTCCGTTCGACGATTTGGGTCAAACGGGGCACCTATGTTCTTGTCGACATGGCAGCGCTTGAGGATAGAGGCAACAAATTATCCGGGGAAATCATAAATATTGTCAGAGATGAGAAGGAGTGGCGGAAAGCACATTTCTGGTTCGCTCCATCTTTCACATCTGTCAATGGTATCTTCTCTCACTGATAATGTTGCTCAGGCCAAAGGAATTCGCAAAGCCCTCGAGGGAAGAAGAAGATGATGAAGATTCGATTTCGGGCAAGTTGCCGCCCTCAGAAGATGAAGATGAATAGGACTAAGTGGTATTTCCAATCCGGATCCGATTTGGAGGCGGTAAAACTTTGTCTTACGATATTGCCTTTTGCAAGATCGTAACCCCTGCGAGAGTGTATCGTAATTTCGTGGGCGACTGCAGGAAGGGGGGATTTTTCGCGCGTGAATGATAATCACAGAGGTCGACCGGTCTTTTACGATGTTGTGGTCGACTCAGCAAGGCCAGGCGTCATATTATTTCCTTTTTTCTTTGATTGAGACAGGCGTTCGATACCCATTCCAAAATGTCCCAAGAACCTGTATCGAAATGCATGCGACAACGGTGATTGAGCTTAACTTTGTGCTTGGATAGACGTTCCAAGCCCATTCCTGCGCGGCCCAAAGCAAATAAATAAGCACCGGGTGGAATCCAGACTTCCAGAGAAGAAAAGGCGTTGTCCATGAAAGATACGCGAAAAATTGATAGTGCAAGGTGCGGGCGCAGAGTAGCCCTATCGCGAAGGAGGTTAGCATGGTAGTAATGACGAAGGAGCTGCTGCTTTGAGTTGGCGGCAGTTTCCCATGGACAGCGTTGTTGATAAACTGTGTGAAGCTGGCGTTTGATGGTCCAATCCAACGGTGTACGAAGAATAATGCCAATATCGATGCATGGACAGCTAGTAATGCAAGCGCAAAGGATTGAGAGGTAAAAGTATCTTCGCCGACGAACCGCCAGTTCACTGTCCACTTGAAAAGGAACTGCCGTGTGAATTCGAACGCTCTTAACATATAGCTGCTAGGGTTTTCTTGAAGGAATGGGACGGCAAAGAGCACCTATATAGTTCAGATTAGTTGCAAAACAATAGAGATCTTTTGCAATTTTTCACAGTAACCTCCATTCAATGAGAAGCTATCGCAGCCTTCATCAATGGGGCATTTTCCAAGTGTAGGGTGAGAAACGCACCTGTAGTAATAACGCCGTGATCCCCAAACCAGTAGCCTTGATGATACCAGCACCCAGCACCACGATTACTGCAACAGCTGGTGCTATAAGCAGCAATGTCATTTTAACCCCCACACCCATAGACCATAATACAACACCCGCAGTCCATTGTCTTCTCTGCAGCATCAAGATAGCCGCCCACAGGAAAAATGTCGCAACCGCATCATTGAACAGCCGGAGAAGGAATACGCTATGAAGCCGTTTCGATAACACGAGCAGAGGAAATAGATACGGCGGCGCCCTTGCAGATCGATAACTCCACATCACAATCACTAGTGTCGCAATATATAGAATCGCAAACACGACTTGTGCGAAAGCAATATCCCGACCCTCATCACAGATGCGGTAAAGGACAGAGTAGATGTAGACGTGCACAGCAGGGTAGACGAGCGGGCCAGTGGAACCCTTAATGAGGGCATAGTCTCGTTCGCCGGAGAGGAATAGTGACACCTGTTGCACGCCTGTGACGCATCTATCTCTGTGTCTGTTGCAGTTAAAAGGG